CCAAGGCTTCACTCGGTGCCTCCCCCGCCTCGCCCTCACTTGCCACACTCTTTTCAGACGGTGGCAGCCCCGAGTCCTTAGACACAACTGACCCCTTTGCATCCGAAGTGACAGACTTTCGAGACTCTTCCGGCTGACCCGTCACACCGGCTGTCTCCCCCTTTGACTGGTCCTGGGTGGTGGATGGTGGTGGCGCTCCACTCTGAGAGGGACCTTGTATGGGACCCGCTACCGGTTTTGCTTCTAGACCGAGTTCGTGGTTGGCGCACGACAAGCTCGTGTCGTCCCCCATAACATTGACAGACTTCACTTTGCGCTCATGTTCGGGCAATTCGTTTACCGCTTCTTGAGCGGGCGATGGTGGTGCAGGTCTCTGTTCTTCAGGTGGCGCGACGTTATCTTCACCAGCCAGTGTGGCACCGTCGGCGGGTACCTGTTCACCAGATGGCGCGTCGTCGGCGGGTACTTTTTCAGTAGACGGTGCTGCTACCTCCCCGGCAGCCATTTCCTGCTCTACCGCCGTGGGCGCGGTGCTCTCTGCGCCAGCACCCCCTGCAGCTGACTCACCACCGCCGATCGGCTCTCCTTGTCCCGTTGGGGCCTCCTCCCCGGGAGCCTTGTCCGGGGATGAGGTCGAGTACCTCGAGACGGCGGACCCGCCGGACGCAATTCCGGAGTCAGCATCACCTGCCACCGCGCCTTCTTTGCCGTCGTCAGCGACATCCGTCCCGCCAGGCGCCTCTGAAGTGCCGACGTCAGGAACAACTGACGGTTCAGTCGCACCATCGCCGCCGTCAGCACTACTTGGGTCAGCGCCCCCGGGGCCCTCTGAGGTAGGCGCAGCCGGCGTGGCTTCTGCCGGCAAGGCGTCAGGGACGGCGACGCCGGGGCCTTCGGGAGTAGGCGCGGACGGCGGGGCAGCTGCAGGTGGCTCTGTAGAGGCGGGGGCAGCCGGCAGGTCTTCTGCCGGCGGGGCCTCGGGTACGGTGGCGTCGGAACCTTCGGAAGTAGGTGCGGAGGGTGGGACAGCTGCAGGTGGCTCTGCAGAGGCGGGGACAGCAGATGTCTCTGCTGGCCTCGCGGCGCCCCCGGGTACACTCGACGAGCAGGACATGCTGACATCATCGCCGAACAGCCCCTTGGACTGCTTGGTGACCACCGAGACAGCGACCTCATCCGCCTCCTCCAGGGCGTCCACGTTCGTGTCACCGCGTTGGCTGACGGCAGCGCTGGTGGTGGACGCCTTCCCCGTGACGCTCTTGGGCTCGTCGCGGCCCTCGTCGGTTTTCGGCACCTTGGCGTCGTCCCCACCGGCGGCAGAGTGTGCGTCAACAGCTTTGGACGACGCCTTGCTCTGTCGGCTGGGGCGTCTGTATCGGCCATCCGTCTGCATGCTGCTGTCCGTCTTGTTCGGCGCGACCGCTTTAGCCGCCTCCTGGTCGGAGTCCTCGGGCAGCCCGTCAGGCGCGGGGGTCGGCTCTACCGGTGCTCCGCGGGTCTCCGTGTCGTTCGAGGCCACCGGGTCCGCCGCTTCTTGGGCGGCGTCCTCGGGCACCCCGTCAGGCACAGGGGGTGGCGCTGCCGGACCGCTGCTGCTGGATGGTGGGCGCTGCAGGTCTCCTGGCGGGGAGGGTTGCTCCTCGGAGGGCTGCTGGGGCTGCTGCGAAAGCTCAGCTGCTGGTGGGGGTGGTGACGGGATATCTTCTTCAGCAGGCTGAGTCTTTTCTTCTCTCCCCGACGAAGGTTCTGTCTCCAGCGGTGGGGGCTGTTCTGCCTCCGTAGACTGAGGCTCCTCTTTTACTGCCGACGGGGTAGGCTCCCCCAGGGTGGGCGTAGGCAGCCGAAGACACTCAGACTGGGGAAGTGACTTTTCGACTTCCGAGAGCAGAGGCGATGGGGGCACTGGGGGCAGTTCTCCCGCGGAAGAGAGGGGTCCCTCTTTGACCGGCGATGGGGGTTGGCCGTCCTCCGAAGAAAGGGGCTCCTCCTTGACCGGCGATGGGGGTTGGCCGTCCTCCGAAGAAAGGGGCTCCTCTTTGACCGGTGGCGGGGGCTGCTCACCTCCGGAAGACGGGGGTGCATCGCCCGGCTGTGAATCAGCCTCACCCTTGGATGCCTGTCCGGCGGCCTCCCCCCCAGGCGAGGCGGCTGGCAGGCACACGGCTCCAGGGAGCAGGGCATTGTCGCCATCGGAGGGCGGGGGCGGGGGTCCACCCAACGAGGCACCTGGGGGCGAAGTTTGACCGACAGGGACATCCCCGGCTTGTCCGCTTGGAGCGCCGCTCGATGGCAGGCACTCTGACTGAGGAAGAGAGCGCTCCACGCCCGACTGGATTTTGTCATCTGGGGGTGGGGGCGGTTGCTGCTGCTGCCCCTCCGGTTGCAGCGGTTGCTGCTGCTGTCCCTCCGGTTGCAGCGGTTGCTGCTGCTG